CCCGATCAAGTAGATCTGATCCGATTCAAAAACCGAGATCTCTGCAAGCTTCTCGATGCCCTTCGCAATATCACTCTGGAGGAGATCCCAGGCGAAAGTCTTTTGCCCCCCACCTTCGTGGTCTCATGTCCTTTGGTTCCAGGTTTTTACTATGTGCAAAATAGTCCAATTAATGCCAAGCTGGTTCCCTTTCGAATACCCGATGGAAGATATTTAGTACTTCTTGAGCTGATACAAGTCTATGAGGAAGTTATCAAACTAGTTTCCTGCAGGATTAAGTTTGCCTTGAAGACCCCACCTGGATATAACGAACTACCGGGGACTAAAAGCAGCGAGGAAAGTGATGAAACCACCAAAGGTCCTGAATTAAAAAATGATAATCCAAGTTCAGAGGTCACCGAACCTGCTGAAGATAACTATGAAGCTTCAATCGATTACCAATAAAATTAAAACTATTTCTCACAGCAATAAAAGTTTTACTAAACTAAAATAGAATATACAAAACGTTTGTTAATAAATATCAATGAGCTTAAAATATATAAGATTGTTCTTAAAAATGCTAAAATTAATCAACTTTTTTTTTGTTGTGCGATTTTTTTTATTACACACCTGTTAACTCATTTCACAATTTCTGCAATTTTTTATAATCTTTCCTTTCATTCATCAAGTCTAGGGTGGGTAATAAAATTTATTGTCTCCTACAAAAAATTCAGCAAGATTGAGACATCTCACACATGTTACAGCCACGCCCAACTAAGTTAATTGAAAGGCCCAGGGGCATGGGAAATATGTTAAACTTCAAATAAATCTATGCGAGACAAGCCGACGACATGGTCTGACTCAAAGATATTAATTTAATTCAATATTTTACTTTGTCGCCACGGTGGTATTCATTTCACACATATTTATTTTCGAGTACAATCTGTGGAATGTTTTGAATTAAGTTGACTTTGTGGCGGCATTCTCGAATGTTCGTATATTTACATATTGAGAGCAGGGCAAATGTTTCCGGTTTTCGACTGCAAGATCGCCGTCATCTTCGATACTTCCACGATGACTGTGCAGAAAGCTTGGCCTCCGTATCAGTCTCGGGTTAGTTTTTATGCTACAGCCCAACCCAAAATGGTAATATCGAGTAGCTTTGCTTTTATTGACTTAGTGTTCCACTCTTTAGGCTTGACAGCTGTTAAAAGTGCCAAATATTTATGGATCCTATTCTCAAGTGATAATTTATTTAATTGGCTTGGCCAGTGATTGATCAATTTGAAAGGGGCAGCGGCAGATGTTCATGAACTTGAGAGGTGGTTGCGGCTTGTAAGCCAATATTATTGTTAACTGGGTGATTGTGGGCCTGTTGACACAAGAATCAGCAATGTAACTTCCTATTGTCTTCTTCCTTATTGTGTGTAAACATCACTCTGCTGACCGCATTCGAAATGACCTTCATTGGAGCGCGGTTTTCGTTTACTCAGTATGATTATTATTTAATCAGCTATCAAATTCTTCAGTGGCTAAGCCGCGCAAACAAAAGATGCCACCAAAAGCCAAGTAAACAGGGCGGCCTGGTTTTGGTGCTTTGGTTTTCGGTCTCGCCGCTAAAATCTACCAAAAAAAAAAAACACCTGCCCAACCGGACCACGCCCCTTGGCTGTGCTTTTGGCCAGGTTTTTCAGTTGATACTTCTTTTTCGCTCACCGTTTTATTTATGCGCCCGTCTTTTGTTTATGTATCGTTCATTTGTCCTCTTCTCCTTTGAAGACTGCAGTTTACATATGACATTATCAACGATGGTCAACCAAAGTTCGGCTATAAAAGGCCCAGATCGCAGATGAAGGTAGGTGCAGTCGTTATTTGGATTAATCAGCGTAATCATCTACTCAGCAGAAGTAAACATGAAGTACCTAGCCCTGGTAAGTTTAGTGATTTTATTTCATTAAGTGGTATACGCTTTAAAAAAGGAATTAAAAAACAATCGAAAATTAATAATACAAAACACTGTGTTATAGAATCCACTTTGTAAACCTTGTGGGAATGACGAATTAAATATGCCATTTTAGGCCAGAATTAATTCTAAAATTTTTATTGGCGCTCTACCATATTTTTAAATAGATTTTGAATGAGTGCCAATTTAAAGTTTGTTTCTTTTTTATACATATAAATATGTTGATTTCATTTATTTTAATGAGAAATTAAGAACTAAAAATATTCTTACGGGTTTTTGAAAATATTAATTGGAAAAGGCTTTAACTTTTCCTTTTGTTATTTGAGTGGAACAAATATACATTAAAATTGCTGTATCAGCGATATAAGACTTATTCCTTTGTTAATAACAGTTCTTGTATTACATTTTCAGACCCTTTTCGTGTGCCTTTTGGCTATTGTTCTTGTGTCTGCGGTGCCCGTGGATGAGTCCCTGATCGGGGACAACATCTACCAGCCGGCCTTTGATGACGTTCAGCGTCCTCAGGATCCGCAGGCCATCTTCAAGCTGAAGAAGCTGCTCAAGCTTAAGAAGCTACTGGGTTAGGAGGCATATGCCAGCTGTCCGCCACGCCCAGAGCAAATTCTAGTCCAACCAATTGGGAACCTTGCCGCCCACACTGCATTCGATTTTCAACCCCGTTTTGTTTAGACAATACCATAAGCACACACGCACAAGCACATACATACGAGTGAAGTATACGTAATCGTTACTAAAATAAATGTAATTTTCATCCAAGTCGGCTTTCTTATGTCATTGGGGTTCGGGGATCTCCATATTTGACCGAAAAGGAGCTAATGACTGGCGGCGGGTCGAGTTTTTGTTTTCCCTGATCTGAGTGGAAAACTCGTTTCGGATCGTTTCTGGGGAGAGAGTGTGAAATGCGAGCGGAATCTTCCTTACATGAGTGCATTGGCCAATCGCCGTCCCACATAAATGAAAAGTCGGCGGTGTGCTAATTGTGTACCATTTGAGGGGAAGACAGGGAGATTAATGGGCTACGCTTTTCATCAATGAAGTTTTCATTGATTTATTTATTTATAGTAACAAGTTTTTATCTTAAACTGGTTACATTAAATAATAGAGTATGCATACAAAATTAAAAAAATTAGTAATATAATATATTGGAAGAGGAATTAAAATTTTTAACTAAATCATTTTACTAACAAATTATACGACCATTATCTTTTAAATAAATTCGTTCTGTGGTAGCTTAATTAAGTGGATATTATCCAATGCAAAACACTAAGAGCACAATTTTGAGTAAGTTTGTTAAAACTAAACAAAAGACTGAAGAAACGAACTTGATTTCTTTTACGCCATTGTTTGTATTGAAAATACTTTTATAGAAAATAAAGCAGCGGAGGGCATATAATATAATAAACTATTTTTCCTCTAGATTTTTTTTATTAAAATTTCCAAGAAAAAGGTAAACCGCTAGACCTTAACACAAAGTTAAGCTAAAATTTTAAATTAAAATTTTTTAGTTTAGATGTTTCTTTTTATCGAAATTCTTAAGAAAAACCTCAACGCCATCTTCGCCTTAAGTCCAAAAGAGAAGTCAAAATAATGTTTTGTTACCAAATACATTTTTTTTATTTGTTTTTTTTTTCCTCCTTAAGACCTAAACACATAGTTAAGCTAAAATCCATGAATGTGATGTTTTAATTCCTAACCCAGGAACAGGAGCTTCTTGAGCAGCTTCAGCTTGAGCAGGAAGGACTGGTCGTCGGAGGGGTTGACGGACTCGCTGCCGGGTCCTTCGAGACCTTCAGGAATGGCCTCCTCGCGGGGAGCAGCACTGGTGACCATGAAGCACACGGCCAGGCAAAGGAACACACTCTGAAAAGGAGTAAATGTGGAGAGTCCACAGTGAGTAAGGTCTCTCCAAGTAATCCATATTTAAAGACGCACCAGGAGCAAGAATTTCATGTTGACTGGGCTTCGGTTGGGCTGGAGATGTATGATCGATGAATTCGCACTGCGCGTTGACAGACCTGCTTGCACTGATCACTGGACCCCGCCGACCCGTCTATTTATATGCCAGAGGCAGACAGTTGCCAATGAGTTGCTCGGCCGGCAGACCGCTCGTCTTTCATAGAAATTAAATCAACGTGTTGCTGCGGTGCGGCAAAAAATACACTGATTCACGAGTCGAGGGGGGAATCAATTTGTTTGGACTATTAAATGTTATTTTACCCCACCACGCATGTGAAGCAATGGCGATAACAAAAGCCAGGTTCCTTTTTTTTTGGGCTACCTTTTGTTAGGCTTTTGAGCCTTATGTTTGAGCAATTTGTTGACTTGTGGTTTGTCCGGCTTTGCTTCTTTTTGCTAATCGGTGTTTCCTTGGTTCTGGGTTCTATTTGAGCAGGCCATTAGCTGCGAGCAGATTCTCCGCTAAATATTAATTAGCGTCTTGACATTGGCCTTAACGCTAAGATTAGCCATTAGTTTTTTGTTCACACCTACATAATAGGCTGGCATAGCTGAATCAACCGAAAATAGGTACTTCTTCAAGTGTATCTGCTGAAAGGCATTCAATTGGCTGTCGCGAAAAACTACAAGTATTAAATTTGAATTTGTGCCGCCTTATAGGTCAAACCGTCCTGCCAACTTTTGAAATTGTAATAAGTGCTGTGTAAAGTACATGTCAAACAATGTTTTCTACCATTTGTGGATGTGCCGACCATGACCATGAAAAAATCAAGCAAATTCAAATTATTATTATAAAAATATAAATATAAAAACCGTTGTTTGTATTACAAACTAAAACTAAGTTAATATATGCTTGTAAAAGTACTTCATGAACTATATTTATTTTATTTATTTATCGATTTTATATAAAATAAACCCTTTAAATAAAGTTTTTATTACATTTTCAAACTTGTTTAACTAAGCGCCAGTTTACCAGACATCTCAAAAGTTAGACAATCCGGCCACGCCTTGCCATTAAACATAGAGGTGGACATCGAGTCTCGGATATTAACACAAAAAATATCGATTAATCGTCATAAATTCCATCTCTAATTAAACAATAAAAAAAATACATATACGAAAAAAGGAAACCAAATTAGACAATATATAAGTTATCGAATCAGAGTCAGTATAAAATTTTTGTCCACACCCACACATACACCCGCAGGAGGAGTTTGAACTCGAACAATGACGGGATCTTTCAGTGTGAAGCTCAAGTCCAAAAAAGGTCAATTCATTGTCAACGACCTGAACGAGCATACAACGCTGGGCGAATTGAAAACGAAAATAGTCCAGGCCACCGCCATACAAGCGCCCCAGCTGCACGTCCTGGTGGGCTATCCGCCGAAACCACTGGACCTATCGCAGCAGCAGGAGCAGCGCGACCTCAAGACGGTCGGAATTAACAGCGGAGAGACACTGATTGTGGAGGAGAAGGCTGCACCCACTGCCACCGCCTTTGTGCCTGCAACCCACACCATGGATGATGACGAGGCGCTGGCGCGTCGTCTACAGGCCGAAGAGGAAGCTCAGCTCCTGGAGGCAACCGGAGGAGTTCCCGCCCAGGTTCCCGAACTCCCTGTGGCGCCCACGGAAAGCGGCCCCAACGGCGACTTCAACGGCATTCTGCTGAAGAAGGTTGTGCCGGCGGACAACTCGTGCCTCTTCACCAGCATCCGCTTTGTGCTCAACGGCAAAGTGGACAACGAGGGCAGCGAGATGATGCGGCATATCATCGCCCAGGAGGTGGCTGCCGATCCCCAGAGCTACAACGACGCCGTGCTGGGCAAGTCTAATGCGGAGTACTGCGCCTGGATACAGAAGGCGGACTCGTGGGGCGGCGCCATCGAGGTGTCTATTCTGTCCAACTACTATGGCATCGAGATCGATGTGGTGGACATCCAAAATGCCATTATCAACCGCTTTGGCGAGGACAAGAACTTCGGCCTGCGTGTCTTCCTGCTCTTTGATGGCATTCACTACGATCCGCTGTACATGGAGACCTCCCAAAGTGCTGCTCCGGCCACCATTTTCCCCGTGGAAGAACTGGGCGTTTATCAGCAGGCGGAACAACTGGCCAACGAGGCGCAGTCCTCGCGTCAGTATACCAATGTGGACAAGTTCACATTGCGTTGCATGCAGTGCGATGTAAGGTTGGTTGGCCAGGTGCAGGCCCAGGAACACGCCAAGCAAACCGGACACCAACGCTTTGGGGAGATTTAATACGTCCTGATTTTCGGCACCGTCTACATTGTGGCTTTCATGCTGTTCGCCTACTACCTGCTCACCACCTAGCCACAATCGCCGTGCGAGGAGTCACCGCAGTAGCTAAATTGTACTACCTCCACATCACCGCCTACTTAAGTTATTAATTATTGAGCCAGCCGCTTGTTTTCATAGTCCCTCTTTAATCCCTCTCGGAACGCAATAAAGTATACATCTTCATCTACACTAGACTAGACATCGAGTCTATAGTCCTTTTTAGTGCTAGGAAGCCCAGGGCGGAGTCATGGCTGCCGGATTCTGGAGGTAGGACATCACCACGGCGCTAACACTCAGCATGAAGGAGGAGAGCACCTGTTTGGCGTCGTCACTGGCCCGTGAACTGGCGAAACTAATGCAGGAACAGTAGAGGGCAAACCAGGCGCACCACTTGAGCTGCGGGGATAGTAAATACGGGTTATTGCCTAGTCATTTGGGTGCAATCACTGGGTATACCTTCATCATCAGTCCACACATGGAGAAAATCATGCCCAGTATGTTCATATAATCCGGCATCATGTCCTCGTTGGCGCCGCCACTTTGGCCCTGGTTCTTGGGCGCTTTGTAGCGGATTATCTTCTCTTTGCGGCGCGGGTCGATGCTCATGTTTAATTTATTTAATTTTCACCAATTTAATCCAAAACCAGGTCAGATGGCAAGGGCCGTATGCGAGGAATGTGAATGTCAGTTAGATTTGCTGGCGTTATTGTGTGAATGGCACTTTGCGATACGTGGCATCACTGCGTATCAGCTGTTTCTTTATTTACACCGCCGCGGGTAGCGTGTTTGAAATAGTTATTTAATTACATAAAAATCACAGAAAATTATAACAGAAACAATGGCTTTGCGATTGCTTAGCCGTTCGATGGCCGTGCACATGCGTGGCTTGCAATTAAACACCACCAGAAAGGGATTAAATAGTTATTATTTGAGTCGGCCAGCGGTTACTCCAGTCTCCTGGTCGTTAGCACAGAATCGCTTGCTGCACGTGAGGATTACGGATCAGGAAGCCGGTTTACAGACTAAGCGAGAGGCCAACAGGAACCAGAATCCTTTCCGGGAAGAAGACCTGCAGGAACCTTCCATAGAAGCACCCAAGCAGCGGCACAAATTTAGGCCAGAAAATAAACTTAAGGAGAAGAGCCCCAAAAAAAAGGTGGACTTTGGGGATCCGGATACCTTTGGTGGTGCAAATATAAATGAAACTCAAGACCCCGGAGATCTCGAAGAGGAGGAGTTCATTAGCAATCCCACGCGGCGCTCAAAGAAACTAAAGGCCGTGGAATATGCCCGCCAGATCAAGGATCATCTGAAAGCGAACCGCCTGAGTGACGCCATCGCCGTGCTGGAGCAGCGCATGCTGCGGGAGGATCGCGTCAAACCGGACAAGTACATATACAACCTGCTGATCAGCGGCTGCGCCAAGGCGGGATACACCCGCAAGGCCTTCGCCCTGTACACCAAAATGCGTCAGCGGGGCCTCCAAGTGACCGGTGGAACCTACACCTCGCTTTTCAACGCCTGCGCCAATGCTCCCTCTGTGGGAGACGGCCTGGCCAAGGCCCAGATTCTGCGGGAGAACATGTTGGAGAAGGGCTACGAACCGAATGTGAAGAACTACAATGCAATGATCAAAGCCTATGGAAGGTGCGGGGATGTAGACACCGCCTACATGTTGGCCGACGAGATGGCGGAGCGCCAGCTGGAGCTAAATGCCGATACGTTCAACTTTCTGCTGCAGGCATGTGCCAGCAATCCAGAGCATGGATTTCGGCACGCTCTGCTCACATGGCACAAAATGCTCAAGAGCGGTATCAGTCCGGACTATTATAGCTTCAATACGATGTTGAGATGTGCTAGGGATTGTGGCTTTGGTGACTTGAACTCGATGCAGGAGGTTCTCTATCAGATCGCTCCGGCAGCAACTGGGCAAAAACCCATTCCTAAGTTGGAGGAAGGGGAAAATGAGAAACTTCCCAGTATTACTTCAGCTTCAGCCTCCGCTTCGTTACCGGCGCAAATCGAGGTGTCGACAACAGCGAGCGAGCTGGAACTACCCAACCTTTTGCTGCCTCGGCCTCATCTGGGCAGCTTGGTGGCATTGGAGGATGTTACACGACCACATGAGCGGTTTCTACTTCTCGGCGGTCTGGCTGGTTTTCTAGAGCACATGAAAGAGCACAAAATCACACCAAACATAGAAACCTTTACTACACTACTAGAGGTGATACCGCCTACAAACGCCGCAGAAAAGCAGCTGCTCACTTTTGTGCGAAAGATTGGACTCAAGGCGGACATAGACTTCTTCAACATACTAATCAAAAAGCGGTCCATGCGGTTCGATTACGAGAATGCACGGGAGGTGCTTACTATGATTCGAACGGCGGGCTTGCGGCCGGACATTGTCACCTACGGTGTACTTGCTTTGGGTTGCCGCACCCAAGAGGAGGCAAGGGAACTGCTGCAACAGATGCAAGTGGCGGGCATAAAGATGAACATGCCTATTTTAGGCGCCATGCTGCGACAGGGATGCGCGAACAAATCTTTCAGCTACATCAATGAGATCATGCAGTTGAGTCTGGAAGAGGGCATCAAGCCCAATGAATCCTTTCTGCGTCACCTGCACAACTTTCACAGAGGATGCGCGAGAGCAATTGATGCTAGGGTGAGTATAGTACTAGGCTTCCACTGGCAAAATCATTGATTGTAATCTCCTACAGCACCCGTCGACCAAGACAGCCGCCTTCAAGAAGGGACACTCGAAATTCTGTGATAAATACCGCCTGTACTACGAGGAGCTGGGTTTAGCTGGTCTTAAGCTAGAAGATGCCATCGCCAAGGTTAAGGAGCGCCCATATCAGAAATATAAGGAGCCGGTCGTCGAGGGAATGGAACCACTCAAGCACGAGCAACTGAAACGCAAAACCAAAATACGGAAGTACATCAAGAAGATCAAGATAGATGAGCTCCAGGATGACCCTCCCAGAGAGCTTTCTAAGAGGATAGAATAAGTTTAGTAGTGTAACAGCCATTAAAGTTTATTATTTGTTAACCAATCATCGTCCTCTTGCGTCCACGGGCTCTCACTTCCTCGAACTTGGATAGAACAGCCTGCTCGTCCTTTCCGCATTCCGTGCGGTAGGCGGTCAGGATCTGCTCGAATAGATACGGTTGCTCGCTATGGGTGCTCAGTAAGGCCCGTTCGAGGACATACAAATCCACGCCCTTGTCCTCAGTCGCCTGATTGTAGTGGCTTAATCCGAAATCAATTAATATAATATCGTATTCGCTGCCCTTCGGATTGATAAGGATGTTCGAAGTCGTCAGATCCCCGTGAATAATGTGGTTTGAGTGCATTTTTCCAATGATTGATCCGATTCTCGTACAAAACTTCTGGAGGGATTGCTTTGCCAGGTCCTCGCTCTGACTGGACACTGTATCCAGTATAAACTGCTTGGCGGTCTTGGCTTTGTCAAAGTATTCCATATACAGTTTGTGGCTGTTTAGGTCCGAGTGGATGATCCTTGGAGCCAAAATCCCGGCGGCCAGGCATCGTCCCGCAGCCTTTGCCTCGGCTTTCATGCGCTGCCGCGTGATCTGGGTGTCCAGTTCCGGGTGACGGTACTTCTTCACAAAGCGCTCCTTGATCAGACAGGCCTCTCCTTTAAAATCGCCCAGATATAGACGCCCCTCGGCTCCTTGTTTTAGAATTTCCAGAGACATTTTATAATTCTGCTAACAACAAACCGGCGCTTTCGTCCGATTAAAAAGTGGCAACTCCAGACATGGGCGTGGGGATAAGTAGTTTACCTAGGGTGTATTAGGAACCATAACAAAAATGCTCAAAAATCACCTCAGAAAAAAAAACCGATAAATATAATAAAAATATGTTAACCAAGTTAGCCTATTTAATATATAAAATGACAAATTTCTATTACAACTATTTAATACCGTTTTAAAATCTACACAACCAATTTAGTTATAAATTGGATAACTCCCCTCAAAAAAGTTGCCACCTGCGCCTATGACCCTGCTTTAAACACTCACAACGAAACACATGCAGACCAGCTGTTTGCTGTTTTGATATTTACAATGAGCCAATCCAATCTCCGTGTGAATCATCATCAGGAAAAACCATCACAAATCATTAGAAGTCTCGAAGCTAAGGTCTAAACTCGCAAAAAATTCAAAAATGTTCAACAATTTGTTCGGAAAGAAGCCCACCGTAAAGGAGCAGCAGCGGGAAAACGACCGATCGCTGCGCAAGGCCACTAGGGACATCGAACGGGAGCGCCGGAAATTGGAGGAGGAGGAGCGTAAGTTGGAGCTGGAAATCAGACGCAATGCCGCCGCGGGGAACAACGATGCCTGCCGCATCCTGGCCAAGCAGCTTGTGGAGATCAGGAAGCAAAAGTCCCGCACTTACGCAGCCTCCGGAAAGATCCAGTCCATTGGTTACCAGAACAAGAACATGGGCGCCAATATTGCCCTCAGCGAGGCCATGGGCACCACAGCCAAGACGATGGGTGAAATGAACAAGGTGATGCGTCCGGAGGCTATTGGTGAAACCGTGCGCCAGTTCCAGGCGGCCAACATGAAAATGGAGATGACCGACGAGATGATAAACGACACACTGGACGACATGCTGACCGAGTCGGGCGACGAGGAAGAATCCAATGCCGTGGTCAACAAGGTTCTCGACGAGATCGGCATCGAAATCTCTGGCAAAATGTCCAGCATCCCGGCCACGGGCACCTCAGACTTTGAGACGAGCGGCAAGCGCACCGAGAAGGATATTGCCGATCAATTGGCCAAACTGCGCTCCTCTTAGTCCTTAGACTTTTGCTATACCTTTTTGTAATTACTGTGAACACCGCTGTTATCCATAGACCGTAAGGAAATATATTTATGTACACCGCTTACAAACGCGCAGTCATTCCGCCGCCGGCCACAATCGACTCGCCCGTAATGTAGCCCGCATCCTCGGAGACGAGGAAGGACACCACGCCGGCCATCTCTTCGCTGGTGCCCAGGCGACCCATGGGTATTTTGCTCAGGGCCGCTTCATTGGCCGACTCATTCTCATAGAGAGCCCTGGAGAACTTTGTCCTGATGACTCCTGGGGCGAGGCAATTGACGCGAATACCTTCGGGCGCCAGATCCTTAGCGGCAGCCTTGGTCAAGCCAATAAGCGCTGTCTTGCTGACTGAGTAGGCGCCAAGTAGCTACAAGATAAAGTTATTGGAGATAAGGGATGTACAGTACATACATAAGAGATAAGAAGGGGACTAACCTCAAAGGCATCATAGCCCGCAATGGAGGAGACAAAGACGATGCTGGAGTCCTTCTGCTGGCGGAGTAGAGGCAGCGCCTCTTTGGCCAACAGATAAGAACTTTTCACATTAACGTCGAAGATCTTGTCCCACACCTTCTCGTCGCATTCGAGGACTCCACCCACCGCCGGATTGGTAGCGGCATTGCTGACCAGAATATTGAGTTTTCCAAACTTGCTGATGGTTTCCTCGAAGAGCTGCTTGCGATCCTGGGGCTCGCTCACATGGCACTTGAGTCCGTGGACATTGAGGTTCAGTTTGCGCAGCTCCGCCAGAGCAGAGTCCACGTTCTTTTGCTTCCGACTGCTGATGACCACCGAAGCGCCATCTTCTGCCAAACGTTTGGCGATAGCGAACCCAATGCTGTTGAGAGATTCAGCAGGAATAAACAAGGATAAATTTAGATATTTTTTTTGATTTCTTACCCATCTGTGGAGGCGGTAACCACGGCTACTTTTCCTGCTAAGCGCTTCATCGGGCCGGCGTTTGAACTTTGACTACTAGTGCTTGACAAACGTTTGTGGCATTGATTAAGATTTGGGCCAGCAAGTTTTGGTCTACAATCGTTGGTGTTTTGATCGCGACTTGAACTTTGACCACTTCCACTCACAGTGCAAGCACTTAATCGAATCTTTGGCGCCCTGACCACCAGTTGTTTGCCAAGATGGATCATTTTTCAGGCCAAATATTTAAAAAGGATCCAAGGATTCGTTGCCTAACAATTGATTTTCCTAATTTAACTATAAAGGGCGCAAATCTTCAAGTTGTTTACTTGTTCTCTTCTTCCTCCCCGTTTGCCATTCACAACGTTGACAAAAGCTTATTATGCCAGTGGCGCCAATTTTGAAAATGCTGAAAAGCTATCTTTGCGGTTGCTTACTAATCAAAAGAAACCCACATAATTATTTATTATATTGCTTAATATAGAAATTATTGCAAGGCAATGGGTTCTATGGTTATTCCAATTGAGAGCACCAACTCGTTCCTCAGTCATTGGCAGATAAGACTTTTTGAAAAGAAAATCTCCAAATAGCAAGATAAACGCTCAGTTACGAAATAATATAAACAAAGATAAATAAGTATGACAAACAAACCGCAAAGTGGGATAAAATCGCTTGACATAATGGAGTGTTATTGGGTCGAAAACATATACATATGTAAGTGCCTGTAGAGCAATCAGCCAAAAGTGCGAATTAATAAGTTATCGGAGAAGCTTTAGCTTTACCGGCGGATCTGACTTCACTATAGTCGCAGTCGTCGGCGGCAGTAGTACACCAGTCTCCGGCTCCGATTTAGTCCGGCACGCGCTTACGATTTTGGGTAACTTTTCGCAACCGTCGGCGAGGCATGTGATACGAGAAAAGCCCTTTTGCTAGTGAAAAACCATACGTCAAACTAAAGATAAACTAAACTAAATTTTAGAAACAAATTATTTTATAAATAAAATTCAAAAAACATGAGTGACCAGGCCAAGGAGATCGAGGCTATTCCGCCCACTATCCAGGACTTCAAGGCTCCCGATCTTCCGGACAACAAACCAGTGCTCTTCTTTCATCCCTACAACTTCCATGCGCAAAAAGTTAGTAAGCGCTCCAATCATGTGATCTTTGAAAATATCATTTGCCCAACAAAGTCCACCAGCTAATACAGCGAAATTACAAAACTTATCATCGTCATCGTTGTTCGTTGTTTCGATGTAATGATGGGATGCCCCCGCCCTGAAGCTTATCCACCCACAATTCTCATTAAATATCTCTGTTCTCGGGTGCAATGAAGCATGACTTGGCGGGTGGCATGGCGGAGTAGTGGAGTTCTTTCGATATCAGACCGGGGTCTACATTATGACAGCATAGGATTGAATTATACGCTGTTTACGTAGCTACTGCAGGTGCTAATGAGGCAGATTGAGGGAGAAACAAAATAATATAAGCGCGAAAATAAACAAACCTCTGAACGAATCTACAGTAGCAGATACAAGTAAAGTTACTGAACCGAAATATTTAAATGGTTTATTGGTTGCCAAACCGAAACTGCCAAAAATATACAATTTATTAATAGGGCTGTTTTGCCAGTAATCTAATCCAGTTAATGCCAAAAAGTCGTTTTAATAAATTTTGTTATTTTTTGGCAGATTCGTTTTGGCAAAGCAAATAATAATTTTCAGTCTACATTTAATTGGCATTGTAGTTTAATGATTCAACTTTTTAATACAAAAAATAACGGTTTTACAAGTTCGAAATACTTCATCTTGCATTTATATGTAGGGTCTCAAGATTTAAAGAAGTGATGTAAGCTTAAAAAATAAATACAAATTTGAGTCATCTTATATACAGTACATATAAGCAGAAAATGGAAAAAAAATGTATACGAATCTTTTAACTTTTTAGTTACATTCTATATATATTTATAGTTTTATTTTTTGATAAATATAATTTAAACGTGGAGGAATTTCGAATGTTAGCAAAGAGTGTTTAACTTATTATTCAATAAAAATAGTGTAATAATAATGTATGAAATTGTAATGCAAACAACTCCACCCATATTTTTAGGTCCTTATGGTTTTCTACGAGAAAAAAATAGACTTCTTTCCGTACGTTGTTGATCTGTGCAATGGCGAGCAGTATTCCAACTGGTTCCTGAACCTCAATCCCAAGGGCGATGTCCCAGTGCTCCAAGACGGAGCTTTTGTTATTCCTAACTCGACGCACATCGTAAGCTATGTGGAGAGCAAGTTCCGAGGAGGTAGTTTAGAAAAAACCGGAATATTTTAAGTTTGCCTATTTAATTAGCTTGCTAATTCTAGGAATTCATCGTTCCTTGAAGCCCCCGCACAACTCGAAGGATTTCGACCAGATGTTGATCCTGGAGCAAGCAATAAGTCGCCTTCCGGTGGGAACTCTCAGCCTGGGTTCCTTTATTCACGATGATCTGAAGCTGGTGCCCAAGGCGCCTTTCATAGGACCCGTGCGCCAGTCCTGTCTAAGTAAGTAACTCCTGTCCCAAACTATAAGCTTGACTGAGTCATTCACTCTTTTTACCCGCAGAAAACAACGGCAAGGTACTTGACCTGCTGCGCCGCTCCCTGGACGAGCAGTCAACCAATAAGGCAGCTTTGCAGCACAAGCTAGATATACAAGTACGTCGGCATGAGCTAGCCTCCTCCCGCGAGGATTTCCAGAAAGTTTTGGATGCCGTGCGTCACTTTTTGCTCTACGTGGAGCAGGAACTATCCGCCCAAGCGCCGCGAAGCGAGTGGCTGGCCGGTGACGAGCTAACCGTAGGGGATATATCATTGGGACTGCTGCTGCATCGGCTATACCAGCTCGGGTTCGAGAACCACTTCTGGGCATTTGGAAAACTGCCACAGGTTGAGGCCTATTTCCTGCGTTTTCGACAGCGCGAGTCCTTCCACCGCCTGCAGCCGAGCAACTTTGCCATCCTGCGCGAGATGTGGACGCGGACGCCGGGCAATTATAAACTTGGAGCGGGAGCCGGCTTCCTGGGTATGGCCATGTTCGCCGCCTTCGCGCACAAGTGAGCGGAGGATCGGGACAACCAGACTTTGTTAACAAATCCTTTTACTGTTAAAGTTGGGCACATATAAACACACGAACATAAGAACGCTTAAAGCTACGCACTGCTGATCTGATGAAGGATGCTGGGGTGTCATGATAGGAGGCGGAGGAGGATGTGAAGCAGAACGCGATCCAGTGCCAGCCTCGGCTGCTTAGTAATATCATTGATTTCATCATTTCATCGTCGCTGAATATACAAAAATTTGGTATAAATTTCAATCCGTCACCTAATTATCAATTCCTGCTATGCTTGATGTCTGCTTGGCGTGTCAGGCGGACCGCCAAGGGCTCAGCTTTCGAGCGGCTGTTGCTCGCGTTCCCTGTCCCGCTTTTGCTGCTCGGTAAGCAGCAAATTGGCGGCTGCACTGGCCGCCTTCGGAGTGGTGAACAGCGGCATTCCCATGAAAGTAGGTATCTGCTGATCCCTCGTCACCCCCGTCGTAGCGGCCTTGCCATTGAGGTTCGTCCTCGAGGTGCTGGATCCCGAGCTCGAGGCGGCTCCCGTTGATAAATGCGAGGGGCGTTTGAACGGGAAGGTAGGTATTTCGCGTTGGTAACTGAAGCTTCCATTTCCAGGCGCCTCGGGCAGCAAACCGGGTGTGGGATACCAGAAACGGTACGTGAAGTACCAAGTGAGTATGGCAATAATGCCGCTGATCACCTTCTCGATCATGCGGTGATAGTACAGCATAGTGCCCACCAGCATTATGTCCCACAGCAGCTGCAGAGCCGCCATGCCAATGAACAAAGTGCGGATGATCGGCGTCAGGCGCTTGTACAAGAACTGCAGGCTACGCATTTGCTCCTCGTTCAGCGTTCTCAAGGGATTTGTGCCCGAGTTTTGGGCGGAACTGCGATTGTGACGCTCGTTGCGGATGTGCTCCTTGATGGTCTCCCATCGGATGATGGGACGCGCCTCCTCGATCAGCACCAGGCTGGAGTGGATCAGTATAAAAGCATGACCGGATATGTCAAAGCCCTTCCATAGATGTCCCGCCCTCAGACAGCTTGATTTGCTTTGGAAGCCTGGAATAACGAGTTTTGAATTATTAACTTCTTAAGGGGCTTCTTATTTAAACCAACCTTTTGTGGTGCAGCGGCCATAGGAGTTCTCCACAATGTTGAACAGCTTCGTCCAGAAGAACCAGAAGAAAGTGGCGATGACTATGCGTGGAAAATGGTGCCTCAGCATTCGTTTGTGGTCTCCGCAGGTGATCGTGTAGGCTGAGAGTACCAGAAAGGGCACAACAAAGAGCAGTGTCCAACCCCAGCCCACCTTTACAAAGTATTGGTTGAACAGGTTGTCCGATCTGGCGAAGTAGGTCTTCGGGAAGGGCGCAAAGTCCCCGATCACGGAAATCACAAACAGACTGCCCAGATACAAGGCCACCTTGAGGTCCGTGTTGAAGAATATAATCTTCTTGCACAGATGGATGACGCCCATGACCAGGATCTCGCGGATACTTGTCGGTGCAGCCGTGGGTCTTGTTCCACGAGCCTCCGACCGGGTGATATCGGGTCCTCCGGGTCTGAAGTTCATGTTGGAGCCGGAGGGGGAGTTGCCGGGATTGCCCAAATTGGGACGCAGCGGTCTTCTTTTGGTGGCCATCGATGGACTGGGCTCGTAGGTTCGGAACAAACTGCGTTGTTTGCTGCCGTATTTGGTTATACTGCGAACAAAGTGAAAATGAGAGCGGAAGAACTGAACGTGTCAAAGTTCAACGCTTGAAATACAAACTAACCTGAGTTGTACCACACCAAAGGCTGTCACATAACCTTGACCGTTAATTTAGCTAATTTTTCTTTGGTAGTTCTAAGCCCCTTAGTTGCACTTACTGTTAATTTTGTACTTTTTATTATGGCCAAAATATACGTGTTGCGCTCGTAAAAAATAGAACAGCTGCACGGGTAAAAGCGCTGCCCGGCGAATGGCAACTCTGATTGGAATCGTAACTGCGGCGTTGTGAATGGCAGGTCGATCAGCTGTTCGGGCTCAGATTTATTTCGAGGGCTTTTAATTGCCGGTTTTAATCAAACTGCGGCATGTACAACTCGGCCAAACAGCTGCAGCGCGTGCTGACAGCCCGCGAGATTCGTAAGACGTTCCTGGACCACTTTACCGTGAGCCATGGCCACAAGTTCGTCCGCTCCAGTCCGGTGGTTCCTTTCTGCGATCCCACGGTGGCTTTTGTTAACGCGGGCATGAATCAGGTGAGGTAACAGGCCCATTTAATGCCATTGTTCGCTCGTTATTCCCTGGCTTTAATTCCAGTTCAAATCGGTATTCCTGGGCACAGCAGAGGCGCCTCACAAGCGCGTCGTCAACTCACAGAAGTGCGTCCGTGTGGGTGGAAAACACAATGATCTATCCGTGGTGGGCACGGATGGCTATCATCACACCTTCTTCGAGATGCTGGGCAACTGGTCCTTCGGGGATTACTTTAAGGTGGGTCCATATTCCCTTCTTTTTAGCTATATTTTGTTATACTCTCTATGTTCCCAGCGGGAGGCCTGCACCATGGCTTTGGAGCTGCTCCGTGGTCCCTACAACATTGACCAAGGTCGCCTATATGTAACTTACTTTGCTGGTGATAAGGTGCTGGGTATTCCAGCGGATCTGGAGTGTTTTGAGATTTGGAGGAGCCTGGGGTACTAGCTATTACATAATATCTGTGCTGTACCTTTTTTTCATTTATTATTTAATCTTTGCAGATTTCCCGCCTCTCGCATACTACCCTTTGGCTGCGCAGACAACTTCTGGGAAATGGGAGCCACTGGTCCATGTGGTCCATGCACCGAAATCCACATAGATCATCGCCCAGATCTTGGCAACGTAGAGCAGCGCGCCAAATTGGTCAATGCAGGTCGCTCCGATCTCACAGAGCTCTGGAATCTCGTCTTTATACAGTATAACCGGTAAGAGTTGGTTTTAAAACGCATTGTGTTTCCAATTAAGAATATTTATTTTCATCCTAGTCATGCGGATGGAACCATCTCTCAATTACCCGCCCATCATGTTGATACTGGCATGGGATTCGAGCGTTTGACGGCAGTGCTGCAAAACAAGAATTCCAACTATGACACGGATTTGTTTACACCGCTCTTTGATGGCATTCAGCAGGTGGCAAAGGCTCCGGTTTACAGTGGCAGCTTTTCGGATGGAGGAAATGCAGCACTACTGGACACCAGCTATAGGATACTAGCCGATCATGCCCGCATGGTCACAGCCTGTTTGGCCGATGGAATGCTGCCAGATCAAAAGTGAGCTTACTCGTAGATCCCATTATTTACCCTACTAATCCAAACCCTTCGTCAGCCAAAAACTGCGCCGTGTGCTCCGCAAAGCTCTCAACATTTCGGAGCATGTGTTTGCCCATGACAAATTGTTGACCCAACTAGTTCCTATTGTGGTCGAGACTCTGGGCGAGGCCTATCCAGAGATGTCATCTAAACAGCAGGCAGTCGTCGACTTGATTAACCACGAGCAGGAGGTATATAAGAATCTGAGAGAAAGTTCTTCCAAAGCATTTGCAGAGGTGCTCACAGAGTTTCCCAATCTGGATGATATTGATTTGATGGAGTGCCCAGGGTTTGTGCCCGCCTACCGGGAGTTTCGGGTGCAACGCTGCAAGTTTTCCAATAACACAATACCAGGAGATTTTCTCTACAAACTGACGGATACATATGGTCTTACCGAAGAGAGCTTTCTTAAGCTGGCCGAACTGGAGAACATGAACTGTGATCTGGAGCGCTACAGGGCTGAGGTCAGTCTGGCCAAGATTAAAGCCAAGGGCACTCAAAGAGCAAGCGAGGAAGGATCGCTTTGCGATCTGGCCAATGAGCAGCGTATTGCCGAAGCTCAGGCGAAGCTAACGAAGCGTCTGACACCCACCGACAACAGTCACAAATATGCCTACTCCTTTGACAAGGAGAGCGATTCATACCAGATACCTCCGCTAAAAAGTCGCATCGTGGGAATGCTTCTCAACGATGCGGAAGTGTCGCGAACGCAAGGCAGTCGCCTACAGAAACCCTCCACCGACCTTATTTCAATTGTAACCACTACCAGCAATTTCTACTATGAATCTGGTGGTCAGCAATCGGATGGTGGAAAGATCTTTGTGAAGAATCACCACCAGCCAGAGCTTCCTCATCTGCTGGACGTTATCTGTGTGAAAAATCTCAATGGCTGTGTGGTTCATGTCTGCAAATTGTCGAGTTCTACAGATGCATTTGAGCTGGCCATTGGAGACGAGGTGGAACTGCAGGTAGATGCCCAGCGGAGACAACTCAATACTTGTCATCATACAGGTGGGATGAATTTGATAAAACTAAGAGATGGTAAAAACAATTGTTTACTTCTAGCTACCCATCTGCTAAACGCTGCAATCCGCTCACTTTTTAAAAAGGTAACCTATCAGGTGTCAAGTTCGGTGACCAGTGATCACTGCAAACTAGAGTTGGGACTGCTGGGCAAGCGCATCCAAAAGGGCGATGTGCAGCTCATTGAAGATCTTATCAAGTAAGTCAGCTTTCCATTACATGCTTTCACAGAATTTAACTGGCAATCCTCTCTTATAGCCGCGTCATCTGCTCTGCCACACCGGTTCAGGTGGAGCTACTAAGTGCCGCTGAAGTCCTGCAACAAAATGACATCACGATGGTGCCCGGTGAGGTTTATCCGGAGCAGGGATTACGACTGGTCAACGTTGACAGCCCTGAACTTCAGCTCAGCTCCAAGGAGCTGTGCTGTGGCACTCATGCCACCAACACCAGTGAGCTTTCCTGCTTTTGCATTGTCAATTTAAAGCAGACAAATCGAGCGAGATTCGCCTTCACCGCTGTGGCTGGCCAGGCGGCTGAAAATGTAAGTTTAATTGTGATGGTGGCAAAAATTATAGATGAATATATCTTTTACTTTTACTGAATCTCCCTTAGGTGCTGAAAACCGCTGCCCTGCTACGCCATCGTGTTGATCTTCTCGAGAAGCAGTTCCAGACTGATAAGCTCACAAATGCCACGGAAGTGGAACTGCAGACCATTCGTCACAACAT